ATTAACTAAGACAATTATGAAATTGTTCCAATAAAATATAAAAAATCAAGATTAAATTAATATTTATTAATCAAATTTATAAAATATTACATTAAATATTTTAAAATTACATTATGTTAATAATATGTTATTAAAAAAATAATTAAAATAACTAGTTTTAAAATGTTTCCACTTAATTTTTTATAAATTTGACTTATAAATGTTTTTTTAAGATCAAATCTAAAAACAATTATTTGTATAAAATAAACATTTCAGATCTGCTGCATCTAAATCCAGTTCTCCAAGAAATGAAATTCAAATCAACACTACAAATATACCGAAACAAAGAAATTAATTTAACAAAATTTGATTTACAATTCAAGAAATCAGCAATCAGGTATCATATTCAGAGTTCAGACACTATAAAATTAAAAACATATACATTTAAAGTAAGAAATTTACTTTGAAGTGTCCGTGTACCGAATTCGACGCCGATAGTAGATTTGGACTCCAAGCAGAATTCGTTGCGAGTAAATCGGGAGAGTGGATTGGACTCGCCGACGCCGGAATCTCCGATTAGTACTACTTTGAACAGGTAATCGTAATCCTCGTCCGGTCTGCTCGCCATCTTTTATTTCTTTTTGAGGTTGAGAATTTAGAGAGAATTAAACGGAGATGAAAATCCGGTAAGTGTCCGGCCAAAGGAATTGGTCGCCGAAGTACTGAAGCGAAATTCGGAATCACAGAATGGTAATTCGTGTGCGGCTTTCTCGGTCACACAGAGATGATGTGTCTCAGCTCCGTAGAACGACGAACAGTGATAAAATAACTGAAATGCCCCCGAACTTTTTCGTAGCTTCATAGTAAATGTCGGGGTATAATCGTGAATTCGAAGTGAGTTTCTCGTCTCTTACCAGCCGGAAGACATTTCCCGGCAAAAATCGTTGGCAATGCCGGAGATTTCGTTAGTTCTTAGCCGGCGAGGAGGCGACCAATCCATTACATCAAGTCCCGGGGATTGAAGCTTGATCATTAGGCTGAAAAGCTGCAATTTTTAGCATTATACAAATGTCAAGAACTTGTCTTTGTTTTTAATTTTGTTAGTTCACTATCTACTTTCGCCATTGATTTCACATGAAATGGGAAAAGAGAATGATTCTATAAAGTAGTTACTATGACAGTGACAAAAGCAGCACCAAAAAAAATTGGCATGATTATTACACAAAAATATCATAATTGTGTTCGGTCTGGCTATTATTATATGTTTAAATACCTTAATTAGTTATAAATTAATAAAATATTATAAATTAAACACAATTAATATCTATTCGTGGAGAACTGACTGTTTAGGTTCAATTATTCGTTTTTAAATTTTAGTATTTGGATTTAATTAGTTGAGAGTTTGATTTTCATCAATTATTTAAAATTTTTTCCTTTTCCATAATTCCTCTTGCTAAATATATATATATATATATATATATTGAACAAGGAAAAATTTTAGAAGAAGGAAAAAATAAACCTTGATATGGGATAAGGAATTTGATGCAAATTGTCAGCTCAGCAGTGTTGCTAGTGCTGCTTGTCGGTTAATATGCTTTTGTTCCAATAATTCATTGCTGTGGGTCAAGAGAAAATGACTTCTCCAATTGGGTTTTTTTTTTTTTCATGTAGTGGATAGACATTTGGTTTTTTTATTTGCAAATTGCACATGCTTTTCTAAATAGGTTGGATATGAGTCCAAGATCTTACAAAATAGACATGGACATTGGTGATGTTCAAGAAACTTAATCATACCATAAGAGAAGGCTCACCCGACGTGCCAGATTTGACAAAAGAAAGACACCACCCTTCCAGTGAACAGCATTCACAATTGGCTTCCAGGTTTCTACTTGCTATTTGGTCCATATCCCACTTGTGTCTAGATGCCTTCAAATTCAAACCCAAAATCAAAGAAGTGTATCCAAAGGCTGCGTAATCATTTAAGAACACAAGGATATAGTTTGCTAGTTTCTATCCTTGAGCAGTTTCAAAAACTCCAGTTGCTTCAGCAATGAGCAATCCACCGATGATGGCATGTTGAGAATAGTAGACGATGGCATGGGGTTGGGAATGATACCGTATGATATGCTTCTTGTGCCAACACTACCCTGCATTAATGTTAGTGAGTTTTATTAACTTTAAACAATTCAGATAAATATTTCAAACATATAAGCCAAGCCAAACTGAAAGTATCTTCCCAGGATTATGAAATATCATTCTCAACCATTAAAACTTTCAGTTTCTATCCACAAAATATTAGTTCAAAAGAAATTGAAGAAAAGGTCAAGACTCTATCTTTCTATTCCATTTGCAAAATTTTAAAGTATTTTTTAAAACAAAGATCTATCTATGTTAGATCAGCCAAAGATTACAGAAACTGATCTGATTTTTTTTTTTTTTTGCATGTCTATAAAAATCATTCTTAATTTTCAAGCAGGACACAAAGGCATAAAGAAAAAACATGGAGAAAACCAATGAAACAGAGCATATTATTATCTAATGATTTAAGCTAGGTAGTACAAAAATCTTTCTTTGAAACATGCAAAATTCAAAACTTTCTGGGAAATACAGACCTTTGATAGAGGTGTTTCCCATTTTGTGTGGAGTAGGTGAGAAGAGGAATTTTGCTGGTATTGGATAACTGGTGACCTTGAAACTTTAAAGCACCCTTTTTTTCGGCTCTTCAAATCCATGGTCATCTGAGAGGACCCGTATTTGGGTCCGCAGTCCGACCCGACCGGACCAAAGAAGGCAGATCCTAACCAAATTTGACCTCATTGGCCTGAAGGCATCACCTTTACAAAACCCTACTTTCATTCCTCGTTTGATCACTCTCAACTCATCACATCAGAAAAACGCCAGTGCTCAGAGGTGTTCTCTCATTTCTAACTGAAATTAGCTTCTTGGGATTTCCTCTGGCTGAATAAAGTTTCCAACTTGCATTAGGAAGATCGTCATATCTGTTAGGTAATTGCAGCTTTTTCCATAAGATTTTCTTCTGTGCTGATAAATTTTTCTTTTTGGTGTTTGTTTTACAGATCTGATATCCAGGCGTTAACGTTTTTCAGTTGAAGTTATGGCTCTAGTGAGTTCTTTTTTTTCTTTAATTTTCCTTTCAGTTCCTTGTATCTTTGTTGATGAATTCATTTATCTTTTCTAGAAATATGAAATAGCTTTGCTATTTTTTGAATTGAAGTCATGGCTTTAGGTTGAGGAATTTGTAAAGATTCAGTATGATAGGAAGTGGGTTTAAGTTTGTTTCCGCCTTTTGATTGCTGAGAATTAGATTGGATAGTACTGATTAGGCAGTAATCTTTAGTCAAAAGTTGGTTCAATTTTTTGGAGTGTTGTTTGCTTTGTTTCAAGCAACTAGATGCGTTGTATAGGTTAAGTTTATAACCGTTCTTTAAAGTTTCTTGCTGCAATTGAAGATCGGATGGATCATAATCTGCTTATCATTTTAAACAGAGTTTCATCAAAATAAATGCAACATACCTGAATGACTGTTAAAAATTGTCTCTGTTTTGATTGATTAACATTATTTACTTTTTATTTATAGATTGGGGGAAATTTTTGTGATTTTATATTTCTTCTACCCTTTGCTTAGTACTTACGGTCAATATTTCAGACTCTTCAGTCTGTGTTTCCTTCTTCATTTTTTGGCAGGGCAAAAAATGGACATGGGGGATTGCCTTGGTTTTTCCTTAACTAATGCAATTGTTTGACCCACTTTATAGGTCTTGCATGCTGGGAAGGCAAACAAAAATGCGTTCAAGACACTCATTGCTGCAGACTACAGTGGGGTGGAGGTCAAATTGGTTGACAATTTTGAGATGGGTGTCTCAAATAAAACACCCGAATATCTCAAGATGAATCCTATAGGGAAGGTATATGTCTATCTGGCATTGTTGATCTAAATTAATTGCTCATTCAGTGTTTTATTTAATTTTATTAAAAATCTCATATTCTTCTAGGTTCCTGTTTTGGAAACCCCTGATGGTCCTATATTTGAGAGCAATGCCATAGCTCGTTATGGTTAGTAAACAAATTTCTTCTTTGTTGTAGCCTTCTTGTATTTTTCTTGAGACTTACCATCCTTGTTTCTACTTGCTACAGTTACTCGCTTGAAGACTGACAATCCACTACTTGGTTCTTCCCTCATTGATTATGTAAGATTACCTTTAATATGTGTTTTGGCTTTGAAACACTTGTTTTTTGACAATTTTTAGTGGACTTTTTTCTTCTTCTTCTTCTTCTTCTTCATTTTTTTTTTTTTCATAATCTATTCTTATTATTGCATATTTATTTTCTTAGGCCCATGTTGAGCAATGGATTGATTTTGCATCATTGGAGATTGATGCTAACATCATGAATTGGTTTAGACCAAGAATGGGGCGTGTTGTATACCTTCCCCCTGTAAGTTTTCTCCTACTCCGGAGTTATTGTTTGCCTTATTAATATGTAGAACTTGCGTAGACATGAATTTTTCAATTGAACTATCCTACAAACTATAGATTTTATGTTGTTGCATGGACTAGGCTGCTTCTGTCCTCATCCTGGGAGATTTATCTGTGTGCTAGGAACCAAAATTCTCATAATCTTCTCATGGATATATGTCACTGATTGTATCTGTAGTGACTTCCATTCAACTTACCTTGAACTTTATGGATTATTCTGAATGCAGGCTGAGGAAGCTGTAATTGCTGCCCTCAAAAGAGCACTAGGTGCCTTAAACACTCACCTTGCTTCCAACACCTATATGGTTGGGCATTCAGTGACCCTTGCTGACATCATTTTGACGTGCAACCTTTACCTGGGATTCACTCAGCTTATGACTAAAAGCTTTACCTCAGAATTCCCTCATGTTGAGAGGTACTTCTGGACCATGGTGAATCAACCAAATTTCAGGAAGATACTGGGTGAGGTGAAGCAGACTGAAACAGTGGTACCTGTTCAGTCTGCAAAAAAGCCTGGACAGCCTAAAGAAGCTAAACCTAAGACTAAGGACGGACCAAAGAAAGAAACCAAGAAGGAAGTCCAGAGAGAGCAGCCAAAGGCTGCTGAAGAGGAGGAAGAAGCTCCAAAGCCCAAACCCAAAAATCCTCTTGATTTGCTTCCTCCAAGTAAGATGGTTCTGGATGACTGGAAGCGGCTTTACTCAAACACCAAGACCAATTTCCGCGAAGTCGCAATCAAAGGTATGACCCTTTATTCTCTTGAGTCTTGTTAGATTGACTTATTTCATGAGCTGCAAATTTATACTTGTTCTCTATTTATCACAGGTTTCTGGGACATGTATGATCCTGATGGATACTCGCTTTGGTTCTGTGATTACAAGTATAACGACGAGAATACAGTCTCATTTGTCACTCTGAACAAGGTAAGTGGATTCCTTCAGAGGATGGATTTGGCACGCAAGTATGCTTTCGGAAAGATGTTGGTAATTGGGTCAGAACCACCATTCAAGGTGAAGGGCTTGTGGCTTTTCCGTGGGCAAGAAATTCCCCAATTTGTCATCGATGAGTGCTATGACATGGAACTGTATGACTGGAAGAAGGTTGAAATATCGGATGAAGCCCAGAAGGAGCGTGTGAATCAGATGATTGAAGATTACGAGCCTTTTGAAGGAGAGTCCCTCCTTGATGCCAAGTGCTTCAAGTGATGCCCCCCATTTCTGTGTCTCCCTTTTCCCTTCTTTTAGCTTTATTCTCTGAAGTTCTTGAAGTCTTTTGTTTGAAGTGTCATACTCAGACTAAATTACATTATCTGTTAGAGGAGCTTGTATCCATTGTCCTTTAAACCTTTTGGTCTCATTTTGTGAAATGATTATGAATTTTCTTTGGGGCTGATGTTGTTAATTAAAAAAAATAAAAAAAAGGATTTAAATATAAGGAATGCTGTATAAATTGGTATATTTAGTTCGAGACGAACTACTTCCAAAGGAGTCTGGGATTCATGGTCGATTTCTTCTTTCAAACCATTCCCATTTCCCATCCAACCAAAATATGTATTGGATTTCCCGTGTTTCCCTGCTCCATTTAAGATGAAGATTACAGACTTTTCAGACAGCTGTTAGACAAATTTTAAATTTTCATGTCGACGCTCGAGCAAAGGAGGAATATAATTATAGAACAAGAAATCTGAGAACCAGTGATGTTTTGCAGGGGGAGGAGCGAAAGGACAAGGAATGAGAGAATTGACTTTCTATATGCATGTATGTTGAAAAATGATGATTGGCAGAGTTGTTTGACAAATTTGAAGTTTGTGAGGAAAAAGCTTGATGTGAGGAGAAGGACAAGAAATCCAACTTTTGTGATGCTGATAAAAGTTTCTCATCTGCTCTGAAGAAAGACGAAAGCTAAAGTGTTTTCGACAAATTTTAATTTGTTGGGAAAAAGCTTGAGAGTGGAGGGCGAAAAAAACAAGAAAATTTAAGTAGGGAAAGGGTGAGGAAAGTGATAAGGGTTGGCTCTATGGACTTTTGAAGAAACATGATAGTCAACGTTGCTTGACTAATTTTAATAATTCAGTTGACAGCTCAAAAGATTAAATTATTAGAGGATTTAAGTTAGATACGTTTGACGAAATTTTAATGTCAAAACTCGAACGGTTGGAATTGAAAATGACACAAGAACTCGCGATGAGTGGAGAGGAGGAAAAGCACAGGAAATTCCAGAACTTGTGGTGTTAGGGACGACAGGAGGAGCAAAATTAAGGATTAAGAATTCTAGAATAAAGATGGAAATTACACCTGTTTTGACAAAGTTTTCATGTCAACACTCGAACGGCTTTGATTTAAGTACGACACAAGAACTGGCGATTAAAAGGAAGGGCGAAGAAAATTTTTGAGAACTTTTGTGATGTTAGCAAAGGGTGGATGAAAAGGACAAGGAACGCTAGAATAATAAAAAGATGAAAGATAGACCTGTTTTGACGAAGTTGTCATGTCAACGCTCGAACGGTTTGATTTAGGTACAACACAAGAACTCGCGATCAGGAAGGGGGGACGAAGATGACAAAGAAATTTGAGAAACTTTGGGGAGGTAAAGCGATCTTTCAATTAATTACGGTGCCTTTTTCCTATTTATCCCCACACCAATTAAAGAAAAAATTAAAAAACTAGGAAAGTAGCATAGGAAGTGCCTCTCTATATTTATAGGTGGCAAAGTTTTGGTATCACAGACGTAGAAAGCAGACAGACGAAGGCAGGAGAAGTTTGTGATGGCTGCTAAAAGGGACAACACTGAGAGATTGATCAGGCGCAAACTCAAGGTATTACTACGTTGTACCTCAATATATCCTATTTCAATCTTAACATGTCTTGGAACGTTTTGATGATATAGTTTCAATTTTGTTCAAAGCAGACTCTGAAGAAGTTGGGGGCAAAAGCTGCTGCTACCAGGGCAGAGATGAGTCGTGTGAGAGAGGAAAAAGCAAAATGGAAAACTGCAATGGAGGAGATGAAATTTGAGGTGGACCTGTTGAAGACATCTCTTCAGCAGCTTTCTGATGACATGCTTCTCATCTCTGAAGCCGTGGATAATCTTGCTGAGATTATACTTCAGCTTAATTAGTCAGTTTAGTCTAGGAAAAGACCAGTCCTATTTTAGGCATGAAATTTAGATATCAGTTATTTTGCTTTAATATTGTGTCAGATCATATATGATTAAGTTCAAGGTTTGGTATGATTTCAATCAAAAAAAGTTGGGTCTTTTAGCTACTCATGAGTTATGTCTTTAGGTTAAAGGTTTGGTGTGTTTTTGGGTTTTAGTCATGAGTAATGTCTTTTTAAGTTCAATATATGATGTAGTTCTGGATTTTATGTTGACTGGTCTTTTAGACTAAACTGTAGACTTGTAGGTCATAAATCTATGTAGAATTGGTAATAATTAATCTTGTTTAGACTTTAATACCAAGTTACCAATCGGTTAAATATATAGGCATTTATTTAAAAGCAAATACTCAAAGAAAATGCACCATATCAGTTTCTTGATGTGGAGGTGCAAATTGAATATTTGATTTGACATAGTCAGATTGTGATTGAATAGTGTTGGATTACTTAATGCTATAAAAAAAAAAAATTACAACAACTAATATACCATTAAACAACCTTAAGCTTTGATTTATTAATAAATAAATATTATTTGATAAATTATTTAAAGTTTAAATCTTAAATTTAGAATTCAAAAAAATTGATTTTTATATATTCACCAAATTGATATAAGATGTATATTTAAAATTGTTTTAGAAGATATTAATTTTAAAGTATGTAAAAATTAACTTAAAGACACAATTAAATATAAATTTAAAAAGAAAAACCATTAAACTCTATAATTTAGATATTTAAAAATCTAGAAAAAAATGAGATATCATGAATTTTTTTTAAAAAATATATTAAATTTATGAAAAAATATTTTTAATATAAAATACATTTTTCATGTAATTTAAATATTAAAATTATCTTAAATATCTTTACTAAAAATTTTTATTAACAATATTTTTATAATTTTAATATTCAAACTATAAAAAAATATAGTGTTGTATTAAAAAAACACATTTCTCTTAAATTTAAATTAAGAAGGATTTTCTGGAGGTAAAGTTTTCGGATTCTGAATTTCTGACCCGAACCGAATCCTGATCCAAAAAGATTCTAACGCATATGCCCCTCACTCTAGAAAAACCCTAGCGGCTCGCGATACCTTGCTTCCCTCTGCATCCCAACGCAAACCCCCGCTTTCGGAAGAACGCAGCTGCAGAAAGGTTCTTCCTTTCTCGTCCCACTCGTCTGTAATAAAGGATGCAATTTTGACTACGTTATCGTTAATGGATTTCTTGTTGTTTCTGTTTTCAGATCTGAAATTAGGGTGTCTCGTTTTTCCGTTAAGCCATGGTTCTGGTGAGTGTTGGATTTCATTTTGTTGGGTAATTTAAGTTGTAAAAGATGAATGATTTACGAAGTGGGTTTGAGTTAAATTTGACTTCTTTCTTCGTTTGAATTTAGTTGGATTGGATTTTCTTCAGAGATTGGTACTTTTTGTAGGGTTTGTGATAATTTATAGGATAGAGAAACATTGGATTACGTTTCAACTTGTATCTCTCTTAATCCATTATTGTATTTGCGATTCTTGGGCTCTTTTCGCATGTACGGTAGCTAGAAGATTTTCTGAATTTTGCATCATTGCCCCAAAATTCTAATGAATAATAGTTGTGGGTTTATTAATGTTTCTAACAACTTGGCTATAACAAGTGATTTCGGGCGAACTGCTTTTTGTTTGGTAGGAAAAGGAACCCTTTAGTTTTAAAGTTGTAAGACTTCGTGTGATCTGATTTACTCTTCTAGGTCCTTTTATTGATGAAGTTGTTGTCAGTTCTGTATTAAAGAATGTCTTTGTCAATGAGCTGCACGATTCCTCTGGAAAATAAAGTAATTTCTTTTAACTCTGTTTTTTTGTGTGAAATTTGAGATCAGTTGCAGGAAATAGGTATATTGAGTCTTACATACTGGATTATGAAAAAGGTTGCCAACTGTTTTTTTTTTAAACATTGTGTGTATTTTGCTCAAGCAACACTCACAGCGTTTTTGGTTTGAGTGAGGGAAGTGGAGGGGAAGGAGGGCTTAATTTGACTGGATGAGATACTCGGCGAATGACTTAATTTTCTTCTCTCAGACCAAACAGGTCCTCAAGGTTTCTATATACTAATTTGGTTACATGTCCATTGCAGATCCTGCATGCAGGGAAGACAAATAAAAATGCTTTCAAGGCACTCATTGCTGCAGAGTACAGTGGTGTGGATGTCAAACCGGCTGAGAATTTTGAGATTGGTGTATCAAACAAAGCCCCTGAATTTTTAAAGATGAACCCTATTGGAAAGGTTTTTGTTTGAACTAGATGTTGCTAAACAACAATCTTTAGTCATATTTGAGGCTTGATTTACAATAATTCTCTTTTTTTTAGGTTCCTGTGTTGGAAACACCTGAAGGCCCCATTTTTGAGAGCAATGCGATTGCTCGTTATGGTGAGAATAATTCTCCCTTCCCTCCCGGGCTTGTAGTCCTATGATGATTTCCTTTGAACTCATGAGATTTATTCGGTTTGTTACAGTTACCCGCTTGAAGGCTGACAATTCTCTATATGGTTGTACTCTAATTGATTATGTAAGACCTTTTATCATCCTGTTATCTTTTTTATTCTTGCATTCAACCAATGTCTCTTGTTGTGATTCACACAATCTTTATTATGGTATATTTTCTTCATTTTTCAGGCCCATATTGAGCAGTGGATTGATTTTGCATCAATGGAGATTGATTCTAACATTTCAAAATGGGTTTATCCCAGGATGGGATTTGGAGTTTTCCTTCCTCCCGTGAGTTAGTTTTTTAGCTTTTGAAATTCTTTATACGTGTCTATCTTTAATTGTGTTCTTTAACTTCTGTTGATGATTTCTCATTTAGGCTGAGGAAGCTGCAATTGCTGCATTGAAAAGGGCACTGAATGCACTTAACAGTCACCTTGTTTGCAACACCTATCTGGTTGGGCATTCAGTGACCCTTGCTGACATTGTTTTGACATGCAACCTTTACCTGGGATTCAGTCAGATTATGACTAAAAGCTTTACTTCAGAATTCCCTCATGTCGAGAGGTACTTCTGGACCATGGTTAATCAACCAAATTTCAAGAAGATACTGGGTGAGGTGAAGCAGACTGAATCAGTGCCACCTGTCCAGTCTGCAAAAAAGCCTGCCCAGCCAAAAGAATCTGCTAAACCCAAGCCAAAGGAAGAACCAAAGAAAGAGGCTAAGAAAGAAACCCCTAAGCCTGCTGAGGAAGAAGAAGAGGCACCAAAGCCCAAACCTAAAAACCCTCTTGATTTGCTTCCTCCAAGTAAGATGGTTCTGGATGACTGGAAGAGGCTTTATTCTAATACTAAGACCAATTTCCGTGAGGTTGCAATTAAAGGTATTTTTTCTAACCTTTTTTTTCTAGCATGGAGTAAAGATGTATGAATCTGCCTTGCATCAAAATCCCTTAAGTAAACTTTGATGATGGTATATCCTGTGATTTTTCATTCCTGTAAAAGTGAGTTGGCTTTAGTAGTTTGAAAATATTGATGTGTGCTACTCTAATGCTCACTTCCAAAAAAAATATGGTTGGCTTCTTCTTTGCAGCTATTTTTGCTCCCCAAGCTCCCATCCCTTTGTCTTTTTTGCTGGATTGAAGAATAAAATTTCATCTCTTATTATTTTCCCATTGTTATTGTAGGATTCTGGGACATGTATGATCCTGAGGGGTACTCACTCTGGTTCTGTGATTACAAGTACAATGACGAGAACACGGTCTCCTTCGTTACTTTGAACAAGGTTAGTGGATTCCTTCAGAGGATGGACTTGGCACGCAAGTATGCCTTTGGTAAGATGCTGGTTATCGGATCTGAACCCCCATTCAAGGTGAAGGGATTGTGGCTTTTCCGCGGGCAAGAGATTCCACAGTTTGTACTCGACGAGTGCTATGACATGGAGCTGTATGATTGGAAGAACGTTGACATTGCAGATGAAGCCCAGAAGGAGCGTGTCAGTCAGATGGTTGAAGATCATGAGCCTTTTGAGGGAGAGTCCCTTTTGGATGCCAAGTGCTTCAAGTGAAAAAACACAACTCTATTAGCTAAGAGATTTTTATGTCCTTTGTCATTGGTGTTTTTGTTAAGAGTGTCTTTCTTGTTTCAAATAGACTGCAAGGTGACGGTATAACTTATATCCCATTTTTGAGTTATTGATTTAGATATCTTTCATAAACCTATATATCCTTTTAGTGCGGATGTGTGACTAAAAATTGTTTTTTTTTTATACCAATGCATTTTGTTTTCATTTTTGTTCAACGCTTATTTGGTGTTGGTAGCCACTTAGGGCTGAAGATTTTGTCCCTAACGTCTCTGACTCTTTAAGAGCATTTTTCTCTAGGGCGAACCTTAGTGCCGATGAGGGGAAATATGGGTGGGGTATTTTCTTATTGCTTGCTACTATTTTTATATTTTTGCCATACCTATTGCTATTAAACGATTTTATACAAATAGAAATGTATTTTTCAGTATGGATTGTTTTTTTTTTTTTTTTAATGTAGTTTAAGTATTGAAATTATTGAAATATTTTTAATAAAATTTTTATTTATATTTGTTTATTAATAGTATTGTAATAATTTTAGTACAAATTATACTGAAAATATAGTTTAGATTGAAAAATACTTATCTCTCATACAAATGTACACACATATAAGCATAGAAGCAAATCCAGGTAGGCTAATACCAACATGTTTTATTCTGCTTCAGTTATAGAAAGACAATAAATTAACCAGGCAAATATTACTGTTTCTCGGACTGTTTCCATACTTGGGAATGATTGTTGCAAATACATATATATGCTTTCTCTAAATATAATAATAAAGCCTTTTGATTAGGTGGGAACTGCCAGAGGACGAAATCCATGGCGAAGAGCAGCTTCCCAAACTTTGTCAATGCTGAAGACACAGTTGCCACACTCATGAACATTCCATCCTTCTAAAGCATGAACAATTCCGGCCACGCGCACCGCACTCATCACCCTTCTTCCCAGCCAATTCTGTTTCACATTTAAATATAGAAATAAGAATTCCCCCAATAAAAACAGAGAACTAATTCTCTGCAAAAATGGGAATGATTTAACGTCAACCTCACAAGAGTTAAGGTTTTCAAGAGATTTTGGAGCCACCATGGCTGGTGTCGTGTGATAATAGCAGTCTGGGCGCACTTTTCTTGGTGGGAAAAGCGAAAATGGGATGAAAATTGTTCCTTTTGATGCTTTCAACTGCTCTTTCTCAGTCAGTCCATCTCCCACCAACCATATCTGCATTACTCAAAGGAGTCTTAACTTCTCACCTCTTCGTTGTAAAAAATGTTAACAATTAATCTAAGCAAAAGGTAAAGGTTTCAGTTCCCTTTAATTCACCTTTTGAGTGCAACTTTCTGAGGCAACCACATCAGTTCCCAACTTTTCATTTTGCTTTAACTTCATATGTTCATCCTCATGTAATGTAATAACCTGCAAAACACAAAGAAAGAGATAACTTTTGCTGTTCGACATTTCTGTCGTACAGCTGTCTTAGGCAATTGAAACATTACCTGAATACCCTTTTGACATAAAGCTGACACTACGGCATGAGCAACCTTGGACAGCTTTCCTCTGAAGATCACTTGTGCTGTTTCCTTTGGAATGCTGTGTATTACAGCAGCTGCCACCAAGCTGCTCCCATCAACAATCTTTATTCTAAGCTGAGGTATCCATTGGATGTACAACTCCCCGTTCATGTTAAGTTCTTCTTTCTGCAAAATTGATTTGCATTATATATGCTAATTTTTTGAAAATAATCAACATCAAAGAAGCAGTAATTTATCCTAAATGGTGGAATCTAAATTACATGCCTGATTCAGAAGACCTAAACTCAAAACCTTAGCTCCTTTCTTATCTGCTTCTAAGACTGCTTCTTCAATTAGTTCGCTGATATCGTTTCTTCCAAAATATGTAAGCAGAAACTAGAGAAAGAAACAGGTAGTTGTTATTATCAAGATGAAAATCCAACAGAAAGATGCACCAAGTTTGTAAGAGGCAAAAAATTATGCAGACGTGTTCCTTACTTCTATTTTATATCTGGGTATTACCCAAGATTGTAGCTTGAGTTTCTTGAAAGTGTTTCTCTCTGAAACAAAAGCATGGCCATAAACCCAAGTCATTATCACAGACCAGAATGTCATTGGCCACATGACCATGAGGTACCATCTCGAAGCATAGGGCTTGGACGCCATGGAAGCAAATCCAAGCTGCAGATGGTATATAGAATCTGCTGTGGTTAAGTGAGTCAAGTGCACAACATCTGGTGACTCTTCTTGTCTTTCGAGTGAAGTTTGATAAACAACATCTGTGGACTTGTCCATGGTTCCATAGACATAATCATAGAAGGGCATGAAAAGTGAATAGTTTGTCCGAAACTGAGTATGATGCAGAGAGTGAAACCTGTGTAGACAACATCCTGTGAAGAGAAAGCCAAAAATTTTTGGATGGAGAGAAAGTGATAAAATGAAGGAAAGAATGAGGACTTACGAGGGTGTATACATGAAATACTTGAGAGGGGGGAAAACAAAGAAAAACCACTGCGGGATTAGTTCAAAGTTGCAGTGTCCCATGTTGTTCATGAAATCTATGTAGGTGACGTAGCCAAAAGCAACTGTGATGGAACTTATTCCCAATAATGGAACTGCCATCAAGGGTATAAGAAATAGCACAAAGTACACCAGTTCTTCTGCGAATGGATGGATAACAGCTGCCACAGTAATTGTAATTATGTCAAAAAACAAATCCTGAATCTTATCATGTACTCAATTGAGCAGTTCTTCTTGGTTTCTTCACTTACAAGTAATTGGCTGGGTGACAATGGAAGCATGGTGGTGGGAGTGGTATCGAGTATAGAGAAAATGGTGGTGCAATGCCCTGTGAAACCAATAGTAGAGGAACTCAACAGGACCCATATGTAGTAGAATTGTGAGTATGGCTCCATCTGCTCTCCATATGGGAAGGTTGGATGCCCCCGGTATTGTCCTATTTGCTGCATAGAACAAAATTCCACTTAGCAGTATCTGGTCATCCCTGCAAAGCAAACATCAAAACTAGTTGGATTCAAACTCTAATGTCATGTCACAAATAGTTTCATTTCACCTGAAAACTTGAAAACAATGAAGAAAAGGATTGTGTTCTCTTCACCAATGACATACCAGTTGCTCTCTCTGTCAACTTGTTCGAATTCAATTCCCTTATCGACAATCCTTCTGTTTCCTTTAGCTGTGATATAACGAGAAAGGGAAATCCAAATTTGGTTGTGAAGAATTCTTGAGAGAAGAAAGGGGAATATCATGAAGTTGAAGAGGTCTCTCTCATTTTCTCCTTTGGTTGCGAATGAGTGGATGCTATGAAGCACCGATGGTGCCAAAATCACGTACTAAAGCCATACAAAACAAAGCATTTATGTTAGTCAAACAACCATACAAATTCGCACTATATCCACACACATACATGGTTAACATAAGAACTATAGCATGGTACCTTGAAGTTTCCAAGAGGCTTCCATGGCCAGTTGGTGAGAATTCCAGGTTTAGTTGCCATTTTTTACTAGTGTAGATCTGATGCTACCTTAAATCAAGGCTTATTGATTTATATATAAAAAACCAAGGCAAGCATTTCCAGTCCTGGATCCGATATTAATTAATGTGATTTGGCATTATCATAATGCGTTGTCAACCTCAATACAGTTGGGAAAATGATATATAGAATTGCAAATTAAGGAATGTTGAAAGCAATTTCAATTTGAAAAATAGAAAAAAATACTAAAAATTTTTAATTTTCAAACTTCAGGTAAGGCAATATTTTGAAGCAGACGGTATCCGTACCACTCGCCGGCAATGGTCACTCTTCTTCAACAAGTGGCGGAGCTAGAAAATTTTTTTTAAGAGGGCAAAATGAAATTTTCATCCAGAAATAGTAATGTAATATTTTTGCATCTATTGAAGGTCTATATGGTGAAAATTATTTAAATAAAAGAAATGAATATAGTTACAATATAAGATTACATGATATTATGAACTTACAATTCAAATATGTCTATATGATGATTAACTATTTTCATTAATGCTCTATTTATAATATTGTATACATTCACTTCTTTAATAATATTTTAAAATTATAATTTTACAATCACAATTAACATTATATAATTATATCATTGCCATAAAAAAATATTTTACATAATATATTTTAATCTTTAACAATAAATTAGAAGGGATTGATGATATATACACCATTGACTAAAGGACAAAAATCAACATATATTGAGTAGAAAAATATTAATAAGCAAAATAGAGAAAATATAAAGCTATCAATGAACAAACAATTTGTAATACTACAAAAATATAATCTTCATATATTGAGTAGAAGAATATAAATGAACAAACAATAGATAGTTCTCAATTAATTTATCTTCATTTATCCTCATGTTTAGTATTGTCTTTATTTTTCGCTCTCATTATCACAAAAAATAATCTTCAATAATTTAAAAAACTAGAAAAGAAATTTTAAATGGTATAAAATTAGATAAAACTACTAATAAAATATTAAATTAGAATTTTGTTTAACAATGCTAATCTATAATTATAATTGTAAATTTTTTAGCCTTTTAATATCTAAAAACAATATAAGATATAATAATACATTTAATGTTTATTTTAATTAATATTTTATATATTTTTAAAATATTAAAAAATAAAAATTTAAAATTTAAATACCAAAAAAGATTATCAAAACGAAATTGATAACTCAAGGGACTAAAACAAATTTTTTCGAAAGTTTAGGAACCTAGGCTCCACTAGTGACCTCAATAAATGAGGGGTACGTGGAACTAATGCCATCACCAATAAGAGTAATGATAGGCAGGATCATTTTAACAACAAAATCCAAAGGACAAGTGAAATAAAGTCAAATTGATAATTATTGTTAGGATTACTTTATTTGCTGTCATATGGTTTTGTCTCCAAAATCGTTCCTCCTATCATTACTCCACCAATAAATGATTCAGTTACAGAGATCAATCACCATATGTTCATGCATACTCCCGAAGTTTATGTCGTGTTAGACTTCTATGACTACAAAGGATTTCTTCGGACAAAAGGATTTATCCAGAGTACTCTCTCTGTTGAAGAAGGAATATGGTTTTATTATTAAATTAAGAGTAACGATATGAGAATAGTTTTTTATATAATTTATTTTATATAATTTTTATATATTACTAATAAATAATTATACTTTATATTATAAGTTTTAAATAAATAAAAAAATAATTATTTAATTAATATATAAAATTATATAAAAAAATATAAAAAAATTAACCCTTAATTATTTTTCTTAAATTCATAGTCCCAAAAAGTTATGCCGTGAAGGATTTTTTCGTACAAAGGATTTATCCAAAAGTACTCTCTTAGTGGAAGAAGAAATATGATTTTATTATTAAATTAAGAACTATCATTTATTAATAATTTTGTTTATATAATTATTTTATATAAATTTTATATATTATTAAATAAAAAAATGAGTTTTAAATAATAAAATGAATTAATAATTTAAATAAC